GGGAATACCCAAGAGACGAAGAACCTGGTGACTGGGGCTATACCTATTCTATAGCATTCACTGCCTCCCCCCATGCATGGTCCTTATCAAATCTGAGATGGCTTTTGGCGGATGACAGGTGGACTGGATTCGTTGGCCACAGGTGTTCTGTTCACGTTCTTGGACGAAATGGCAAAAGGAGCTCTCAGAGTTGTAGCCTTGCGATCCACAACACGTGGATCCACTTCGTGACTTTGAAGGACATGTGGGAAGATGAGGTGCACACATGCCTGGAATTTGGGACATGCTCAAGACATCTGGGTCACCCAAATCCTGCACCGAGCGAGTGTCTGTGCCTTGATGGTCTGAAGATGACGAGTTGGAAACACCCCGAGATGTTCAACGTGATTTCACGTGATGTTGAGCATCTTTTCAGAAAAATACACCTTGTTAGTCTTTGTATGCCTTGGTCGCAGGTGGCCCTACCGGCTCCTTAGCTGTCTAACCACCAGCCACCAGCTAGTTCTGAGATGCTTTATGTGGGTCATCAAATACGCCCTTTTGCAAGCTGTTCTCATCGTTCAAGACATGAGGTATAGTATTAAGGTGCTTGAGGACAAGTGTAAAATGAAAACACACCTTGGACACAGCAAAGGGATAGCTTTCTCAAAGAAAGAGAGTCCTATCTGGCGCATGCTTCGGGCCACCGTAGCAGCGCTTTCGGGCCACCGTAGTTCAACGAGTTCGGGGTAAAGACCAGTCCTTCTACTTATAAAGATTTACAAAGAACATGTCAATTTGGCTTCTGCCTCAGAGTCTCTGTAGTTACGCAAACTGTCGGGACTTGGATGTGTGAACACCTCTTCCACATATCGCCAGCCGCACCTCAGAAAGCCCTCCTCCACGCTCGCGGCGCCGTCCTCCAAGTAGATCCGGTCCGCCGGCGTGCGCTCCCGGTAGGCCAGCACCAAAACGGTGCTCGACCTCATCAGCTCCTGACAGGTCGGCAGCGACGACGGCAGAGAGCGGTGAGGCGGGCGGGACAGATTCCGGGCCGTGGAGGTCCGGGGGACGGCAGAGAGTGGTGCCCAAATGGATAGTGGCACGGGACATCCATACATTCTTACTGGGACTGCCAGGACACCCATTGAGACCTCCGGCCTAACAACTCTCCATTTCGGAGAGCTGTAGAGGCAGGTGCTGGTACTTTTCTATCTATTTGGAGGATCTATATAAAGCCTAGTCCGGAGTGTTGGGTTGGAAGCTGTCCACAGCTTGGAGAGGAAGCTGTGGACACACCTAGACTCGATCTCCCCGATGTTCGGTGAGTGACGACAAGGGTATCTTTGAACATGAATGTGGATGATTGGGTGATCCAGCTCTATAGTGGTCCCCAAATAGATCGAAAAGTAAATCCTCACTCAAAATGTATTGGAAACCTATATCTATATATTTGGGGACCCCTAATAGATTATATAGCATTTCCCAACTCTGTTCGACTTGGTTTTCTATGTCTCACCAGCGTCACCGGTCCACCCTGTTCATCGGAATTCGTGCGACGGTCTCAAATGGCGGCAGGAGATGTTGCTGGACCTTCCTGTCGGTCAAATCCAAAGAAGATCCACAAGTAGGGCCAGGACATTCCAGCCAGGATAAATTGGTAAAGCTTCAAACTGGGGAGACACAAACAGCTGAGGCATGATTAAAGACCTGGTCCTTACGTTTCTTCAACCAAAGTGAGCATGATTCACATGATTGAGTTTGGAACGTTCCTGTCGCCAAGACTGAAGGGACCTACCCGCCTACCCGCCTACCGGGGCTGGGAGGCCATCGATCCTGAAGATAGAACCGAAAATCCTTCTACACCCTGGAAGAGACCCACATGGAACCTGAAAAACCACCGGGTCATAGAAGAAAAATTAGTCTTCCTAGCAGGTCAATGCCATCGGGGTCCATGTGTGTGTTTTTTTTTGCTGGGTGTCTTCTGCCACAAGGGAAAGCTCTCTGCGACATCACCCCGTTCACTCCAGTTGCGTTTTCTCGCTGATTTGTGCCACACTCTCCAGGTGTGTTGCCTATCCTGCAAAACTACGTAGGCCTTTGCAACTCTTCCGGACGGAAGAGAGGCCTTGTTCGGCCAAGTGCAAAGGATGGCACATAGGGCCCAGCCTGGCCCAGCACCTCGACGGATGCCATCTGCTCGGTATAATGACGCAAAGCCGGGTGCTGTTCCAACGGGGTTCGTCGGCCGGAGTGGATGACTTGGACTTGAAATTCGCAGCAGCTCGCCCTACACCTTTTCCTTGGTGAAGTGTTCAGTAAAATCAAGGAAACCCATGAAAAATCTGCCAAATGTCTCCAGACTTCAGATATCTTCAGACCTTGCAACTCTCCTTAGTAGGTCGAAAAAAGTGAGTTCAGAGTCCGGCTTCGGCTCTAAACAACCTGGAGTGGGAGTTCGTCCGAGTAGGACCTTGAGATCCTAATCTTGGGTCACGAGTCTTGTGCTTGAGATTGTTTGACTTTATGTTCACGTTGTTCAATCTGTGGAAAGAAACAAAATGATATCTCTTCCATGCACTTCATTCACCGATCTCCCCCCATATGTTCCCCTCCAAAACCAACACCTTGAACTGAGACGGGGACGAGGTCCCGTGCTGTGTGCCGACGAATCGGTGTCTTACTAAGGGTTCTTACCCTGTGGACCACCAGGTAAACCATTCTTTATGGTCACTAGCAGTCTTTCACCGTCGCAGAAAGAAGACCAGACTTGTTCTCTTTTTTTTTTCGGGAGTTTGGCCTGATGTTAACCATAGAACAGCTCTTCCGCTCGTGATTCTCTGTTCGATTCCGCACAACAGTTTCGGAAGGCGAGGCCTTGCATCCACTCAGGCATCAAGATCTATTAAGCATCCAGTTGCACGAATTGGTCCGATGGACATGTTCAGATTACTCGATCTAAACCGATCGAAGCCCAGTTCGACGATCTTTTACCCTGTTCCTGGATTGCGGCCACCGCATCAAACATCATCAAACCAGTCTTACAAAATCGTCTAGCTGCTGGACTCTACTCGGGATAGATGCATCGACCGCGGCAAGCTCTCGGTCTCCCATCTCCCATGCCATGTGGGTGCGCAAAACAAGTACGAGGCCGTTCGGCCCCAAGTGCCGCAATGAAAACATTGGAAGGCCCATCCACGGTTCCAAGCTCTAGTTTGAACTATTTTGGGCATTGGTATATACCGTTACTAGCGCCCAGTGCATGATGGTGAGGTTGCAGGCCTGTCTCGAAAAAACGTGACGCATCCTCTTTTACTAGCTGTTACTGGTAGTATCTAGGAGCCCTTGGTCCCTCAAAACCATAGGGATTTGAGGGTACAAACCCCTCCATATGAGGGTCCACAAGCCTCTGGGTACCCTATATATGTATATATATGTAGCTCTATACGTGCCAAATTTATCGAACTACCGCTCAAGGCTACGTCGGCTACGTGAGCTTCGAAAGCTGCCACGGTCGAATCAAGTACCTTACGTTGGAAGGTACTGTGCAGTATTGGCAGTGGATGAGTCGCATCAAACACTGAAAAGCATCGGGAAAAATATGGAAAAATAGACCTGATGTGGTTAAGCCCCGAAACATATTTAAAAACATTGCAGAAAACGACCCGAAAATGATTTCCTCATCTCTTTTCCAGCCCGAAAAGCCTTCGAAATTCGGAGGATGAGACCATCAAATGGACTGGGCCATTGCTCGCGGGTTGGGCCCGCCCTGCTGAACATCCACTGCACAGTTCGCATCCGAGGCGCTGCAGCTCCAGCGACCGCAGCGCACTGACACACAGCAACCATGTGGGGCCGGCCAACGAAGTTGCCAAGGAAGTCGAATCAAGATGTTCAACGTTCAAGCTCTTCGATCTTATAGTGATCCGCCAAAATAGATAGATGGCCTGGTGTCCAATGCATGTTTAGTGGGGATCTACTGTTCTACAGGCTGGCCCCGGTTTCCGTACGGCACGGGTCGTCGCGACGGGCCCCTCTGCAGCTTCGCGGAGCCGCACACACGGTGATGATCCCCAGGTTTGGGGAAGAGGTAAACCCTAGGGAACCTCACCCAGGACCTTCCCAGTGACCGTCCTTGAGATCCCGAGGTCACGAAACGGCCTTGAAAAGGTCACGTATACCAATCCTGAAGAGGTCACTGGGAAGGTCCTGGACTATGAAGCAAAAAAGAACCAAACCAAGGATTGCTGTAACTGAAAACAGGTGAGGCCTTGGACCCAAAAGATGGAAAAATCCGTGTTGTCACCTTTTTCACACCATCTGTTCACCGCCGTCACCGCGTGCGCGGCCTCTGCTCTCTTGGCAGACTGAGATCGATAAACCTGGAAACCCAGTCTCAACCAGACACGGTTCAGGTTGTTCTGTATAAATGTGAGATCTACATAGGAAGTGGGGACTGGAGTTCATTCCAGAACTCTTTCTGGTTGAGACTGGGGTGTTCCTCCACAAACTTCCATGCATCTCCTGGTCTCAAAGAACACGAGCGGTTCGCTCGAAAAAAGCAAGCTCCGGCTCCGACCTGCGGACCTGGGCACCACAGTCCCAAGCATGGGACGGGCCGTCCGTTGGTGAAACTGGTATCTTCACCATAATGAAGATGGAAGCACTGACTCACTGGAAGCTATGGCTGCTAAACTAGTATCTCCCCTTCGTCTACAAGAGCTTTCAAGGCTGGTAGATTCAGAATAGTATTCAATAACATCATAAGTTTGCGGCCTTGATGCCATTGGGAGTTTCAATGCTTTGCTGGCACATAACTGTAACACTCCTCTTGTCAAAGAATGCCTCACCCTCGACTTGTCCAAGGGAGGGGCAGCCAAGAGGAATCTGACTGAAAAAAGATTACACAAACAAACTAACAAGATCATCTGCAAAAGCCGTCCATCCATTCAAACCGATGTGCACAAAGACCTCAAAGATATTGAAGCGCAACCCGGCCGTGGTGGTCTTTCTGGCGACGATCAGCGCCGAATTTCAAGAGAAGCAACACGATCTCTCGGGTGCCTTCCTTGGCTGCGGTGTGTAAGGGATAGGACTTGCGAAAGCCAAACCAGGAGCACTTGGCAGCATTAACACCCTCAAAGTGGTTCAAGTCGAGGAAGCTTTTGATCTTCTGCCAATCCGAAAGGTCCTTTTCCTTGGGCCGGGGCCGTCAACAAAGAGTTTCTCGTCGAAAAACAAACTCCCACCCAGCACAACCATGGAACGGGCCTGTCTCTATCCATAACATTGGTTCCTACGTACTTCATCTGCTTAAATCGCTAACCTTCAATGAACTTTGTCTTTGGTTTTAGAGTCCAATATTCTCGGGTTGATCAATCGACGACGACAAGAATCCTGGTTGGATCATTGAGGTTTCTACCGGTGGAAAACCGTATGCGTTCTTTGTGTCTTGTTGCGTATTGCGGAGCCTGCGGAGCTTTTCTGAGTAGGAATCGATCTTCACTGAGTTTGATCGAGTTTGGCACCGTGGCCACACGGCCAACCCAGCTCGGTCTCTTCTTTCAATGGCTGTGCGCCCCACCTCCGCCGTCGGCACGGCGACCGTGGCGCCGGCAGGCCACGCCCCCGGAGGGCACGGGGCCACCAAAGTCGCGCACTGCGCGGCGTTCGGGTAGAGAGCAGAAAGAGCGCCAGGCGTGGGTGTCGCCGGTTTGCGGAGGCCATGGGTTTGAGAATAGGTCTCAGACTCAGAATTCTACCAGACTCAGAACCGACCCGAAAGAGTTTCAGCAGGATTTTGTGGCATCCACTTCTGGAAATCGTCAGACGCACGGGGCAGCCAAGGCCAAGGCCTGGACAAGGCCGGACAAGGCGGAGAAGACAGGCGCACGGCTAAGCAGGATACACGGACCCGGACAAGGCCCAGACAAGGTCGTGGCCAGCCCCTTTTTGTCCTAAGAGAGAACCCCAACAGTAAAATGTTTGAGAATAACTCAAAGTTGTACAGTTGTACCAGTTTCAATGATTTCGGCTTCACGATGGCTGGCCAACTGCAACATGAGTTTCCTTGTTTACTTGTTCAATAAAGGGAGGCGTGATCCACCGCGGAGCAGGGATATGTCTAGTTCTTGTTGCTTGTGATGGAGTGGGACGCGACAAAATTTGCAGGCAAGAGTTTGAAGCTGAGGGCAGGTCAACCTCCCCAGTCCTAGGAAATAGATTGATCCATTTGCAGGCAAGGCTCCATGAGCGCCTGGCGCTTCCGCTCCTGACAAGTCCAATTCTGGTGATTCGAAGCGGAATCCAAAAAAGAGAACCTGCAAAAGAGCGAGCGAGCGAGAGAGAGAGAGAGACTGAAACAATCTTTCGGAGCCACTAGGTTGAACACGGGCTCACCTATATACTGGAGCAGAGATCAATGGCACCTGCACAAAACCTCGAAAATATGATTAACAATTTGGAAAATCATCAACGCACTGCAGCTTGAAGTGCAGGATGCTTTCGTCGATCAACAACAAAAGGAAACACCCATAAAACCTCCCTGGCAGGGGATCTCATATCAAATGAGTCTGAAGTATATATACAAACAAACCAAGAGTCAAAACGCTGGAATCTTCCAAAGGATTTGGCCTGTAGCAAGCCCTACTCCGAAAATACATGGAGGTTGCAACCAGAAAATCCGATACTTCTGGAGAGTAAAGCCAGCAGAAACTAGTCCTGCAACTCAGATACTACATCAAAAGCAATACGTCGCAGATCTTACCTCGCACCATCCAACCAACACACGTTCAACTTATCAACCTTCCCAAAAAGATCAAGTAACTCTCCTATTCCAAAAAGCACCCCCAGACCCCAGAAAAATAAAAATAAAAAAGAAAGTAATCTCTCGAAAATCCCCACTCTTCCGAACTCAGTTCGTCCTTTTTCTCGCAACTCTCCCCAAAAAGATCCACAAAAAATGTAAAAAGCACGGGACTCCTTCGCCTGCTGCTTCCTCATCTTGGCCTCCATCTTTCGCACCGCAACGGCAATCTCTGCTTCGCTGCACCTCACCACATCGCCCGGCTGCATGAGCTTGCAACGGCCACCCACCTGGCGAAAGCACAGAGACCGAACACCGGTGTCCACCGGCCGTTTCTGACTGAAGGACCGAGACTTTCTGACCGCACGCCCCACCTCCGCCGCGGTCAGCAGAAAGCCCCCAGACTTGGAAGGAAGAAAAGAAAGCACTACACCCTGGAAGAGACCCACATGGAACCTGAAAACCGGTTGTAGAGGGAAAATCGTCTTCCAAAGCAGGTCTATGCCATCAGGTTCCATGTGGGTCTCTTCCCACATATAAGAACGGTCAACGTCTCGGCTGGCCCAGTGACCAGACGGGATCCGCTCTTTGAAGGGGGATGACTGTATGACTGTATGACCCTTGCGACCAGACTAGGGGGGTAAGCTGGTCTGGTCTACGTTTCGAGTGGACGAAAGACCGACCAATCAGGCCAAATCAGTGATCGCTTTGATTCAAGCACACTCAACTTGCCAACCCCCCCAAACACCTTGGAAGCATCGTAGGTGTTCATAACATTCTCCCAATGGAACCCTCCTGATCGCGAAACAAAGTATATATATATATACATTTGCTTTTTTCGTCGGTGGTTCAACATACCAGTATTTCGCTCTGTGAACCACATAAACATCCGCAACCGAAATAACCATCCGCGCTGAAAAAAGAAAGGGTTCGGGAAAAATGCCGGTGGCTCACCAATAAACGCCCGTAGCCTGTGTATAAACGCCCGTTGAATTTCAGACAAACTCAGAAAACTAGAGACACACCGCAGACTCAAATATAAGGCTGTGGCCGCAGATAAAAGAGGGCACTCTGAGGAAGTTCCAGGTATATCATAAAGTATCCTTAAAATTATCCCTCCCTTATCCAAGGAGTACGTCTGTCTATTCTTCGCCGGCAGCGAAGACTAGAAGGACCCATTTCAAAAAAGAAGAACATGCAACACACATGGACGTTGCATTAATTCGGTTGGAGCCCATTAGGCCCATTAGTGGTCCATCTGCAGGTCAGGTCTGCCCGGTTCGTTCGTTGCGGTTCGCAACCGCTGCGGTTCGCTGGACGTGGAGGACGGACGTGGGCGCCGCTTCGGCGAAACCGCTTCGGTTCGGGTTCGGTTCCATCTTTTTCCACCTCCGATCATGAACAAACGAATTAACAGAAAATGAATGAAGTCATGGTTTGACTGACATGGTTCGGAAGATTCTTGAAAAATGATTTTTAATGAATGTCTGTCAAAGGATTCTTGCCTGTGGGGGGAATCTTCCGAAGTGATTTCCCTTCACACACCCTCTTCCCCCCCGAACCTGCTCAAAGACAAATTTGGCCATGTTACTAGCTGCTCTACCAGCTGACTGGACGGTCTCTTCAAAAAATAACTGCAGCCGGACGGCGGACACAGCTTCCCAGGGATGGAAGAAAAGAATGAAAAAGGTCCCATCCTAATGTGACAGATGGTCCAAATTCTTGGTTCCCCCAGCACAGATTGAGATTCACACGAGTTCCCCTACAAAAGGTATGCGGTAAACAGCAGCTAGTGGTCCCATCACTCATGCGTTAGACTCAGTCTATAACCTGCAGGCCTCGCTGGGTTCAGTGCGAACTGGTGGCGGTTTCTGTGCCTTTCTAGTCCGATTGCTCATCCAAGCAAATCATGGTCCAGGAACGTCCAGGGCCATCTCAACAATTGCTTTGTGAAGTGGTTTTCAGCCAAGGATGCAGGGTCAGCAAAAAGAACAGCAATGGCTATGGATGGCTATGGTTCCACTGGCAAAAAAAATCACAAAAGCGAAGTAGCCAACCCCTGCGTGAACCGGTGTCAGCACCCGAGAACGTCCACATCCTATCTCCAAATCTTCCATCTCTCAACTCCTTGAGAGCATCAACCAATGGATCTTGCTCTTCAAAATACACCACATCTGCTGCCAAGATCAAGTCCTGCCACCAGAAGCCACGGGTCCGGGGGCCCTGTCGTGTCCCAGTCACCATTCGGGACCGTTCGAAGCGGCCGTTCGAACGGCTGCCCTCCAGGGAGGGGGAAGGAAGCGAAGTGGATCATATCTGATGGCTTGGAACTGCCAGTTTCTATCATTTCACGACAGCCGTGGACAAAACAAATGGAAATCATGCCCACTGACCAGCTATACTTGAAACGCCCACGTTCGCTTCAAGGTGACCCCAGATATCCTCAGATTCCTCAGATTGCATTTTGCCGAGACAGGCCTGTGGGACCAAGTGCGCCATAGTCGAAACGCCCAGTTGTACGGAATATCAAGGTATAAGGTACAGCATAGTCTGCACATCAATGGTAAATCACACCCTTCACAATACTTGGTCCCTCCTTAAACAAGTGCTGGTAGCCTGTGCAGTGTTCAGGTACGAACCCAAGAATGGCACACCCCAGCGACGTACACCTGATCGCTACCCGGATCGCCGATCCAGCACAGCATCCCGCTCCAGTGGCGCAGCATCATCGCCAGCAAATTCGGACCTGAAGTCGAGCAACAAATCAAGCACTCGCACGCGCACCACACACTCACACTCTGGCACACAAACACCCTAAACCCTGAACCCTCCGTTCCAGCCCCTCGGCATCCCTCGGCCTGTCTGTTGCGTATGCCCCAGTCGTAGCATGTCTGTTGGGGGTCATATGTCTACTGGGTCAGTACTGGGTCAGTTGGGTCCGTTCGGTCGGGTCCGGTCCATGGACCGGGAGGGCGAAGGTGGACACAGGCTCTGCGTGTCCGGTGACGTGTCTCGTTCGCTTGCTACATGGTGGGCCGGTCCGGACAGGTCCGGCTGAGGTCAGGGGTGGTCATGGGTCCTGCGAATTCTGCGGGCCTCATTGATCGACATCTTCAATCCATCTCTCAAGACACATGCTGCCAAACGACCACATGCTGCCACTGTGTGCGACAGTTTCAGTTCCTCAAACGATTATCCAAGTGAAACGTGCGCTGAAGCAATATGGAGAGAGCGCCGCCACGTCCTATGTACGTGACAACAGAAGGTATAGGACACCGGTGAATTCCCACATGGCGCAACTCCACTGTATTAGATTCAGCGAAGACGGTGAAAACTCCAGATTCGCATTCATCCTAGCATTTTCGCTGTAGATTTCGCATTCATCCTAGCTGCGTCAATGAAGTCTTGTTTTTTTGCGTTTTTTTTGCGAATTCAACACCCTCTCAGCCTTGGTCGGCACCAACTGCCCACATCTGAGGCTCGGCACGAGGCGGCAGCACTCCAATCCAATGCCACAGCGCGTGCCGTGCCTGACGAATTCATACACTGGAAAATGCCACTGTCCTGCATCGGAACGAAACCTCCATGGGTCTCTCTGTTGCCAGTAGCATGGGGGGATGACGGTATGCAGCATGCAGCATTGAATATGATGTCGGGATGGGTGATCCCTCTAAAAATCAAATGTTCAAGTTTGGACAGATTTCTGGAAGACTCGTGTAACGCAAGAATGACACAGTCGATTCTCACCAACCTTTGTAACGAAGTCTACCTACCTGTAGAATTGGCAAAATGCCATCAACCATGCATCTGCACTAGCTATTTCAATCCCCCAATAGTATATGCGGGTTGGTCAAAAGGTTGGCCGACCAAGGACGTGGACGCAGAAACCATTCAACATCCCTTAGAAGTTGCTAGAAACTCCTCAGGAATCGGCGCGACCTGCATTTGAGCTGAAACCTTCACCTCTCAGCGGCACGTCTTTCGTCTGCACCCCCGCACGGAGCGCCCGGATCGCACGGACGGGGGGTCACCAGGGCCTGTGAGCTGGTTCAGTGCGATGTTCCTCTCCATCAACGGCACCAGCTCAGCGTAGTCCGTCAAAGCCACCCTGGCGGTTCCACCGCAGAAGGCGAAGGCGGCCGACCCGGAAGTTGCCGGGAGGCCGAGCCGGATCTCAAGGGAACCCAAATGTGACCCCGGCAGGGGTTTAAACATGCGGGAAAGGATGGGAAAAGGAATCGCACCGAGAACGATTCACGAATGAAGCAAAGGCCATGTGAGGTTGAACGTGTCTTGGCTCCCACATCCCTGGCATTGAGAGCCTGGGCAGAGTTCCAACCCAAGTTGGCGTTCACCCCTGTCACACCCATAGCCCAATAGCCTGAATCAACAAAACTGGTAAGGACAATTAGAACCGCTTCCGAGATCAACGACCACAAAACCTCTGAAACCGCATCCACAAACATCTCATAACGCACCGTGGTCAGGTCCTTTAAATCACATCAGCAACATGACGCACAAATCCAACTATCTGACTAACTAACTATAACTCTAACTACAGCTATAGCTATGATTATATACAACTATGTAGTTAAAAACTAACGAATGAACCAACCAACAAACGATCTAAATACTAGCTAGCTAACTAGCCAACCAATGAACAAACTAGCTTTCTAGCGAACTGAATGACTGGCTGGCTGACTAACTAACTAACTAACTAGAGCACAGGGAAGGAAGGTAAAGTAAAGTGAAGTACACCACCTAACTAGCCAGCCAATTAACCGACCAGGCAACTAACCAACGTGCTTACTCACTGAACTTAATTTACCAGTTCAACCGACCAACTAACCAACTACATTCATGCTACTATTCAACAACTCCCAGGACAACTGTCCAAAAACCATCCGGAAACCGTCAACGAACCCATTCTCGAGCCGGTCTCGACCCCTGGCGCCCCCGCATAAATACATGCGGCCCACGAGCGGCCTGGCGCCCAGGCGCGCTGCGGCCAGGCCAGGCGCCCCGGGTCCAGCGCCCAGCTCGAGCACCGAGGCATCGTGGAGCGCTGGCAACAGCTGGGCGCCCGTCTTCGGACACCGAGCAGCGGAAAGGGTGCCTGGAGCAGCGGGAGCAGTGAGAGGTATGGGAATGGTATGGGTTGGAAAAGAATGGGTGTAGGGATGTGTAGGGTGTGTATGGGAGCTCCCGGAGTGTAGGGGTGTGGGTGTGTGTTTACACCTTGGAGTCATGGAGTTATAATAGGCTTCTTCGGAGCTTGAGGTGCAGGTGCAGGGCGGCTTTCTGCGGCCATGACGGACTAAAGATCACTCCGCGGGTTCTGCAGCTTCTGCGGACCTTTGCGACGAACACGGTACCTGGTAGCCATCATAGCCCTCTTCACGCTGTTGAGGTGCGACGTCTCCAGGTCGGCAGACTGTCGAGGGCGCCGCTCGCATTCTGTCGGGGAACCCTTCGACTCATGGGACGCGCGTGTCTTGGGACACGTGATTCCTCGCTCGGACACCGCGGTCAAAAAAAACCTCGTACCTGTCATGTCTGTTGAAGCCTGCGGTGACTCTTCAGGGCTTCGGAAGTCCGAGCTCTGTGCCCCCCGTGGACCAGCCGAGCTGGTGGATGCAGTCTGGTAGGGCACAGCCAGCCATGAGGCATACGCAAATACCGCCATAGCGGCCCAAGTTCCTTTGGATATCCAATTGTAGCTCGTATCGACCTTGGCTGTTGCCTGTCCTTTTTGTCCTTCCATTTCCTTCCCTTTCTTTTCTTTCTGTGGTGTGTTCTTGGCGGCTTGTGCCCTAGCTGGGAACACCCTGCTTTTCTTTTTCTTTGGGGTGCGCCCCTTCAATTGCTTGGGTCATAGCTGGAGGCACGGCGTGTCCCTCGATGCTTGGGTCATAGCTGGGAGACTCTTTATCTTTCTTTATATTTTTCTTTTTCCCTCTCTCTCTCACATACGGCTTGGAGCTTAACGATAGAGAGAGAGAAAGAGAGAGTGTGTGTGTGTGTCCCCTCTGGATTCACGAGGTTCCAGTCGGAATGTGTTCTTTTCCTTTTCCGTGACAGCAGGGGGCAGTAGCCCACTCATGAGTCTACTGCCAACGAAGCTGCTCATGAGTTGGGAGGATATCGGAGCTGATCACTCCGACGTACCTGCTTGGTTGTGGCGTTGACAAGCTTGCACTCCAATCTTCACGTAAAGGGCTAATGAATTCTGCAGACGTGCACGCACCGTCGTCAGCCTGTTCGACCCGCGATCGTCGTTCGTTTCCTTCCTTTTTGGGCCACTTCTCCGTTTGAAGACCACCAGGCTTCGCTGGTTCCCTACTGGTACTCTTAGGAAATGGTAACCTAGGCCGGCGTGTGGCACCGCTGTCAAGTCAGTACGCATTTCCATAAGTGTGTCAGAGGTTTCGTCGGAGTTTTAGAAAGGTGCAGGGGGCATGCGGCCATTACGCAAACACCCGCTAACGAAGCTATGCAGAATTGTGGATAGTAGATACCGGACTCGATCAGTCCGGCGTACCTGCACTTTCAAGAAATGCGATGTGTGACGTTTTCTAACCATGCACGTTCTCTTCTGTGCATGAAATATCCAAAAAAAGAAAGTAAGAAGTGAACAATCGGTATAGTTGTTTTTCGCAGCTGGATTCATGTCGCGGTGGGTTTGGTACCCCCATAACCATCTGGACACAGCCCCCGCCTGAGGCCAAAGCTTTGGCCAACAGAACTCCTGAGGGCCAAAGGCTGCTTCCAATGCGGTATTTCGGCCTCAGCGTCCATGTGTTGAAACGCGCAAAAACACAGGGTGTCTCCGATGGTTGTTGCTAGTGATTTGGTCGATCTGGTGGTTTCGTTCGGCTCCTCTTTGGGGTCTTTTCAGGTGTTTTCAACTTCAGATCTGAGGAAAAAAAAGGAGCTTCGCAGCGGTTTCACCTCACCGGATGAGGTTTCTCACCGACGTCCTTTCAGCTAAGAGCCCTGCAACCCGAACCGCGGTTCACCTCACCTCACCGGCGCCCAAACCGGGTGATCCAAGGCACGGCGACCACCCCGGCGACCCCCGACCCCCGCGGCGTCAGACGCGATGCAGATCCGGAGAGTCCATGAATCCAAAACTGAGAGTCACGCTTCGTTCGATTTCTTCCAATGGTCCTTTCCTTTGGGCCCGAAAAGACAGAACCGTCTGGCCGACTTCGGAAGGGTCCTAACAAGATCCATCCTCCTTCTCACCGTCCAGAAGTGGTGGAAGTGGTGGATGTGGTGCGAGATGATGTTCCACTCCGTGGAATCGAGTCATTTCAATGTCATCACTGGCAGTGACACCCATACCCCATACACAAGACGAATGGGACTCCAATCACCGACTAATTGGGGCAACTTGACCTGGGGTGAATGTAGGTTGATATGCCAGTCCCATTGGTCGGAGTGTCTGTGACGTCCCAGTAGCCACGTCTCGATATGTAGCGCGAAGGGCCCCAGGTCGATCTCCTGCCCGTTCGGGTTTCATCTGCACGTAAGTGCCAGGACCGACCCTGTTCGCCCAGTGGTTTTGGGACACCCCTTCAATCACCTATTTGTACAAGGCTAATTTGCAGACCCCTCGAACGGAGGGTGCTGGTGGAGGATTCCTCCGCTGGTGGATTTCGCTGCTTCCTTTCGCCTTCGCCGTGCGTCGCCCTTCGTCGTTGATACCATCCGAGCTCACCCTTAATTCACTCCCACCGAGACGTGCAAGGCGGAGAGAAGCACAAAGGAAAGCACCACGAGGTGGAAGCGAATCCGGATGAATTTGGCTAGAGTCTATTAGACTCGTCCCAGAGATTTGGGTCCATAAGATGCAACTGACCCGGAAACCATCAAAACTCCTATACTCTCCCGGGAACTATCATGAAAGTGGAAAATGGTCTTCCAAGGGGCCTTTTCTACTTCCATGCCGGTTCCAGGGAGTGTAAGTACTAGAGTCACTAGAGTCAGCCATGCCTCAATCAGCCCCTCTCAAGTCAAAAGCGGGTGGATGTCCATGTGGCCGATGACCGATTCATACACATGTCCATGGTCAGGGAAGCTCCAGTGGTAAGTTCCGAGATCTAGTGGATGAGTCATACTTGTAGGGAGAGGAAGGACTCTGGAGACCGAAAATAGATGGATACTACTCCCCTGCAGACTAACATGGACTCTCAAAATCGTAGAGGAAAATGGTCTTCCAGGGTCCATGTTAGTCTGCAGGTGGGTACCGTCATGAAACTCATGCAACTCATGCAACTTAGTCAAGACATCCAAGGCGTCCCAAACGGACGACGTGCGAAGGGGCACACCAGATCCCCTGGATTGTTTCTTGGTTGTGTTTAGTTTCGAATCCTCACCAGCTGGCAGCTAGCAAGCAAAAAGATCGCTCAGCCCCCCATGCTCACCTCCCCTCCTGCACTAAAGGAAGGGGCACGGCCGTGCCCGCCGCATCCGCCTGGTCCTGCCGCATCCGGCGGACCTTCGCCCTGCGCTCAGCCTGTCAGATTCTTCCAACCAATCCACATGACTTGGAGAGGAACCAAGCTCGGAGGTGAGGTCCGGGTGTGGTCCGGGGGTAGCCCAAAAAAGAACTCCCCTAACCAACCATCCACATGCCTTGGGGAATCCTATCCTGTTAGAGTGCATATATTCATCTGAGTCTGAGTGCTCATCGGATGCGAGTGTGCCTGCCCCGCCCGGTCACACTGTTGCTGACACGCCCCTATTTCATGCCCGTCGCTTGACCCACGGGGCGGCGCAAACGCAAAGGCACCGAAGGAAAAAAACAGAAGCCAGACTGATCTCCTTGAGTAGTGCATTAATGTGACCAACTCCAGCAAAATGAGGTCCGTTCCTGACCCTTTGGGCCCACCTGCCAAGAGAACTTATCGATTGAAGCTGGTGTCAGCACTGCGCAGGGCTGGCAAGTCTGCCTTCCTCAAGCGAACCTGAATTCTACCTGGGTTCTTGGGCAACAGCCCTGCTTGAAGGCCCAGATCTTGCAAGAGTTCCAAGCTCGCCTGACGCACATCCGTAGTGTCCCAATCTTTCCGGGACTTCCCATACCCAGTAACGATCAGGCATTTCAACTCCTTCTCCTGCTCCAGCTTCGTGGCCACTGCAGTGGAGAGCCAGTGACACAGCACCAAACGAGCAGTTCCCTCTGATAGGTCATGAAGGTCGATCTTTGAAGCGTCACATCCCCGTAACTCCTGGAACTCTGGCAGCCCGCTTCGCAAAAACAAAGCTCTGCCAACAGCACTTCTCTGGATTTCTGAACAATCAAATAAGGCGTTGTAAGCTACCAAATTTGGCTGAACTTTCATCTCGGGCATGGCCTCAAACAACTTCAAGGCTTGCGGCCACTGCCCGCCCTTCTCACAGGCA